AACACGAAATAAACTATGCAATTGCTTAAAATAACCTCAAAATACTTGCCTAAATGCATCATACATACAACTTGCACGATCTAAATTCAAAAAAAAAATTAACACCTATACAAACATTCGCAGGCCTGCGGCCTGCAAACTTCTATAAAAAAATTAATATCTATATAAACGTTCGCAGGCCTTTGGTCTGCAAACTTCTATAAAAAAATTAACATCTATACAAACGTTCGCAGGCCTTCAGCCTGCAAACTTCTATAAAAAAATTACCACTTATACAAATGTTCGCAGGCCTTTGGCTTGCAAACTTCTATTTTACCAAAAGAACCTTGCTAGAAGACGAGCCATGCATTATATGAGCTTAACCTTATCTATAATATGTCGCTTCTGACTTAACCTACCTAATTCTAATCTTAAAATGAAATGACTAAAGTTCTGCCTTAGTAACTTTAGTGCTAAATAAATTAAAATTTTACGTTAAAGTAAATATTTTGAGCGATGTTAAATTACTATGTAATTTAGAGCGTTCTCAAGTACCTTTCTCAATGAAATCAATAAAGAATCTGATTGGTATATAAGATAAAACTGACCAATCAGATTCTTTATCGAGTTTATTGAGAAAGGTGCTTCTCATACTTCATAAATCATCATTAATTCTAAGTTTCAATTTGAGCATTAATTTGCTATATCAATTTGAGATTATTATATATTATACAGTACAAGAATAAATAATGTGCTATATCAACTATTTGTTAAGGCAATTTCGCTTATTATGTTCCTTGCTTTTACAAATACTGCATTGACGAGAAGCACAAGACGAAGTACGTGTACGTTTTTTCAGTTTTTCAATTGCTGATTTTATACGCCTTTTGGAGGGACGCCCTTTTTCAATATATTTAAGTGGGTTCTGAACATCAAGTCATGTAGTTTCAATATCTTGATCATTCTCTGTATCTTGATCACTCTCTGTATCTTGATTACTCTTTGTACCTTGATCACTCTCTACAATTTGGTTATCATCTAGTTCCTGTTCTATAATTTGTTTGCTGCATTGTGCTTCCTCATGGATGCGTATCCATTTCTTAAATGTTTCTATCAAAATCTTTGAATTATTTAAATCATCGTAATTAACTACTTCTACACATTTACAGGCAAGCCCAAGCAATGTTCCTTTAATCGATTGTTTACGGCCAATTGCTTTTGCTGCAGCTTGTACAGAAGCTTCAATAAGCATGATATTCCACGAATCAACAACATCCGGAAAAGAAAGTAAAGATGGTGTTGAACTGTTCTTTTCTAATGAATTTCTTCTAAGAAATGGCTCATCAACAACTACCGCGTCCATAAATTCATCTTTGTACCAATGTCTTGGAATGAGAGAAATGTGAAAATAAGCCTTTTCAGACTGTAAAAGAACACAAAATCAATGACAGCAAATCACTCCACTATCGAATAATAAGATGCATGTATATAAATAAAATCTATTTTTTAGCAGCACTACATTCTGTCCAATATTCGATTTATGCTCGATTGATTGAACTTCCCAAACTTCAGCAACTAAGGAATGATCGATCCCCTCAAGAAGTTCATCAAAACGTATCTGACGAAAGTCATACTCAAATTCAATCAGCCCATTATCAACAACCTCTAATGTTAAATTATATGGATCCTCAAAATTAACCTTTTTGCTATGATACATCACCAACTCATTCATTTGATCAATATGTAACTGTAAAATTTTAGGCGTTATATACTTTTGCAAAATATTGTATATTTTAGGAAAAAGTCATTCAGGGACACTTGGTGTTATATATGATGTTGTTTTTTCATGCCAAGCCACAAACCGACCAGCAAATTGTTCTTCTGCAACACGTAATTCAATTCGGTTAAACAGGATGTGAAGTTGAGTTCTTTCATTTACAGTCCGTTTAATTACACCGTTTATTGATTCAGATCGTTGTGTAGATATTATCCCTGCCATAAAAACTCAACCTGTAAATGCTTTTGGCCAGGTTGTTTTACATGGATCAAGCTGTCTAAGTAGATATTCAGTTGATTCTGGAAAATTGATCATAAGTTGTTTCCAGTATTTCTCAAATGTTTCTTTATATAAAACGTTTCAGCAACAATAAAATGCTTTGATAAAATCTGCATAACGATCACTAAGTAGCTTTGCAAGCTGCTTTTCAATGTTATGCCCAATGTGCCAGATACAATGAAGTAGGTAGGTATTAAGATATATTTCGGGAACAACACTTTCTAAACCTGGATCTGCATCAATTATAAAAGCGCCGGGCTGAACTCCTGTAGCCTCAATTGTTTGCTGTAAAACCCATCTATAACTTTTACTTGTTTCATCGAGCAATATAGCCTGTGCAACAATTCGTGATTTGAAATTATTATTTACAACAGCAAAAATGCACAATGGGAGTTTATAGACGTTGGTCACTGCTGTATTGTAGTTTAAAATAATGTCTGCATAATGTCGCCAAAGTTCGCGTTGTTCAGGGGTCATATAGAATACACCTTGTAATCTGTTTGTTTCTGGATCAATTAACAATTGAACATACCAATCAGGATTCTTGGTACGCTCTTTTTTAAAGTGCTGAAAAAGCTTTGCAGTATCACACACCTGTATATCATGAGTACGACGAAACTTATACACATAGTTTTTCATATCATAATCCACAATTGTGACTTTAGGAAATAACCTACAGAGTAACCAAACCTAAGATAGGACATCAATGTCACAAAAGACATAGTTTTCAATAAGCTCCTTCATTTCTGTGATAAGTTTTCGATAGCTAATAGCAAAGCTAGCGTTTTCAGGAACCAACATATGGTTGTGTTCAAGCTTCATCGATGTCAACTTAATTATAGTTTCATTATCAGGACCCTTACTCTTGCACACATTCACCAGAAAAGGACAACCAATTCTTTTTGAACACTTATTTCTTTGCTTTTCAGGTGGAGCAGTTTACGTGAGACATATTTACCAGACCGTTCACAATCCCAAGTATGCTGACATAGATCAAGGCTATTATTTACCCGCTTTTTTTTGATCGCAAAGTTATTTTGACGTGCGTAACGTTTTAATGTCTCTTGACATTTTTCCCAAGTTCCAAAGGCTTTTCCACGGTAAATTTTAATGCAGATTGGAGGTAGGTGTCCACGTTGATAATTAGCAGTATTTTCTGAGGCATTATCAGATTCACTAACAACATCAATATCCTCTTCAAATTTAATACCAGGTTCATCTTCAGTATCCTTTTCACGCTCAGTACCAGGTTCAGATTCACTAACAATGTCAATGTCCTCTTCAAATTCAATACCAGATCCATCTTCAGTATCCTTTTCACGTTCAGTATCAGGTTCATCTTCAGTATCCTTTTCAAGTTCAATGCCAAGTTCACCTTCTATCTTCTTTTCAAATCCTA